TAGATGTCATCCTCATCCACATCTAGTGTTCTGTCAAAGTAGCTATCAGATAGTATGGTTGTCCATAAAAATTACCAGGAGACAGAAATACACAGACCTTTTATTTTTTTTTTTCAGTTACAGATTGGGCTATTGAGATTCCAGACCCAATTGCTTCTCCTGCCAATAATCCTGGAGCATTTACACAGGAAATGCAAAGTGGGCAGAAGGTTGGCAAAGGAAAAGAAGAAGAATTAAAAATTAATTTTGCTTTCTGTAAAAGCCTTTTTGGAAAGGGCAGTTTGGATTAAATGAATGGTTAGCAATGATGGTTTACCAAAGCACTAGGGAAAGTGGGTATGTATTGTCTCAGGTACAAGATTTTAATTTGTATTAACTGATTAATAAATTCCACTATTGGGAAGGAAAAAGAGTATTATCTAAAAGTAAAAAAAAATAATCTTTTGTGAATAAAACAGTAATAAAGAAAATTGCATCTGGGCCATCAATATTTAAAATGTGGTTATGACATCTGTCATATGATATCCCTGGAAGTCTTCAAAGGATGTGCTATGATGTGCTGAGAAGTCTTCTCCATATCCATTCAAGAAGCTTCACCTTAAGTCTGGGCATAATGATTGTGCACCTTCCTGTCCCTCACAGAAGACACGAGGATGGGACTTGGGGCCCTTTTTGAGGTGATCCTGGCCCAGTGTAGCAGATGACCAGGAGCAGTGATGTGATGAGCTGCCTCTGACAGAACAAGGGCTCTCTTGGAGGTGTGTGACAGTGAAGCGAGAGCCCAGAGAAGGCTGTGTTGTTTGAGTCTCTTTGGGAACAGGGAGAAAGCCTGTGTGGCAGAGGACAGTTTAGTAAGAGAGTGAACACTGAGTAACCAAGTACAGAAGGGGCAGCAGTGAGAGCAGATTGTTCTGGTTAGAACTGACATAATTTCAGTTCCCCCAATTATCAGGCTGCCCATGCCCCAGGCCTTCTCCCAGTGATGATTCCTCTTCCCAAATGCCCTGTCTCTGACTTGGCCAGCTAAACTCCTACTTGAGAGAACTTCTGTATTCTCTGGTCCGTGTCATGACTCACTTTTTTTGTGATCCCAGAATGCTTTGTGCAGACTTCCATTTATAAGACCTAATCTTTGTAATTGTTAGACTACTTGTCGCTATTACCGACTTCAGAGAAGAGACCATGATGTTCATATTTGGATACTGAGTACTCCACCATGTGCCTCACACTAGAATACACACTTAGTAAATGTTGGGTGGTTGAGTGAATGAATGAATGAATGAATGAATGAATGAATGAATGAGTGGTGTGTTTGGGTAAGAGCCTGAAAGTCAGTGTGACTGGACTGCAGGCTGGGATATCATTTTAGGTCAAATACTGAGCTCAAAGAGGCTGCATTTGATCTATGTTTCAGCTTTTATCAAATAGCAAGTCATTGAAGACTGTCAACTTCATCTAGAGAGTTGATAGGAGCATCTCAAAGCAGAGCCCAAGTCCCATGAGCACACAATACCTTTTAGCCAAATGAAGAGGTAAACCAATAAAGGAATAAGGGGATACATAAGTCTTTTTCAAAAGATGAGACACAGAGAAGATACCAGAGGGTGACAGATAAAATACAGATACATATTTTTTAAACTTCTGTTCAAGTTATATCTATGTGTGTGCATGTGCAGAGTGAGTCATAGTGTAAAGTATATCTAGCAATTAAAAAGCCAATTCTAATTCAAACAAGAAATTATTAGCTGAAATTAAGAATGCAGGCAATAGAGCAGATTCAGGGGCAGAGGCCTGTTTAATGTGAGAAATGCCTGCAGGTCTAAAGAGAGAATGTAAAGGGCATCAGGAAATACAGATATGGACCTTGGGGAGCAATTTCAGAAAGAGAGAAATATTTGGAACTCTTCAGTGTATATGTTTATAAAAAGCCAATGTGGAATACCAGCCACAAAATGGTATAACTTTCCTGTTAACACGTACACATCTTCCAGAAGAATATTAAGAAAAACTGGATGAACACACCTTATTGGTGGAAGACTACATTCCTGACTCTGATAATGTGACTTAATGACCTCAGACTTGCTCTTGTTGGCTATGCAGGTATGGCATAGATCTTGACCTCATGTTGGTCTCTATGCTGAGCAAAGGAAGATGTTGAGAAAAAGAGGGCCTTCTATCTGTTTTACAAATAAAAGAAGAAACTAAACTTCAGGAGATCAGAGTTCAAGAACTAGGGTTTGCCTGAAATATTCGCATACCCTTCCAAACTAGTTCTCACAGTTGTCTAGTCTTTGTGGTTGTACAGGACTCAGGGCTGCTAAGAGGAGTCCTCAGGCTTTCCCTCAGGATGTGGGAATGCCTGTGGCTTAGGTAGAACCAGGGCTGCCAGCACTTCTTTCTGGCTCCAAGGGATAAAGGAGTCTCTAACAGAGGCCAGCACAGGGACATTCTGGCCTATGGGGTGCAAATAAACCTGGCTCATCCAAGTGTGAACTAATGAAGTGGTGCAGAAAGTGCCGGCTTTTCACCTCGGGGTTCTGGGTTTTATGAGCTTGACCACAGCAGCACTGATGATTTAAATTATTGCCTTTACTGAGAACTGTAAGGGAATGGAGAACAACAGAAGAACGGATCATTTTAAACTGTGAAAGTCCAAACATGGAATACCTCCAAAATGATGACTGCTTTATAGCTGTATGGCTTTAGGTTCTAGAAGATTATTCTGAATCCTTAGTCCCACAGATATTTGTGCAGCGGCTCAGCAGAACTTGCTGGGATGTTACCCACCCTACCCTGGAAGAGACAGCGTAAAGCTCCTGGAGGAGCCAGAGAGAAAGGTGACTTTCTTAACTCTGCCTGACGGTGAGCTCCCCACCCAGAATAATGGCCAGTGGAGAGCAGAAGAGCCACCTGGAGCTTGTGCCACCCAAAACAGCATGAGCAATGTGCTATGGATTAGGGCAGGTGGAAGGTGAGGTGGAAACGTTTGTGGATGGTGGTGAGAAGAACACTTTAAGAGGAGGACGTTGGTAGAAAAGGCAGAGAGTGGAAGGATGAAGTATGTTCAGAGGAAGGGAAAAGAGGCAGGAAGTCAAAGGTGGCCTAGGACAGGAGGAGATGCCCCAAGACAGCCAAGTTGAGCACAGAAGTCCTTGGAAACGCCAATGGCATGTTTGAATCAAGTACTCAGCTTCCATCTCTCCAGATAACTTGATCAGGCACAGGATATCTCTACAAGAGCAAGTAGCAGTAGTGGTCTCAGGAAGGGGCAATGGATGATGGAATC